CACCCTAGGTTTGCTGGGCTCCTTTGAGAGGGTCTTGCCATCCTCCTTGGCTTTGGCCTCTGTCTTGAGTTTCTCCTCAGGCTTCTTGGCCTCGGTGGCCTTCTCCTCCTGGTGTCTTTCTTCTGGGGTGCGGGCGCGGGCGCTGCCGCCTCCTTCTCTGCTGGTTTGCTGGGTTCCTTGGCCACCTCTGTCTTCTCTTTGGGTTTAGTGTCTTCCTTCATCTCTACCTTGGCAGGAGCCTCCTTCTCTGGGGTGGCTGTTTTTTTCTTATCTTCAGACTCTTCCTTCTTGGCTTTGACTTTGGATTCTTTGGGCTTTCAATGGTAGGTTCCTTCTCCACTTTGGGCTTTGGAGCCTCCTTCGTGGGTGCTTCCGCTTTCTTGCTGTCCTTCTTACCCTCTGCTTTTGGCATTGCGGGAGCTTTCTCTTCCTCTACCTTCTTCGGGGCTTCTCCTCCTCCTTCACTGGGGACTTCACCTCTTCCTTCTTTGGGATCTCCTTCCCAGGGGCCTTGGCATCCTCCTTCAGGAGAGACTTCGCCTTCTCTGGGGGCTTGACCTCTGCATTGGCAGGGCTTTTGGCCTTTCCGGGGATTTGTCTACAGGGGACCTTGCTTCCTCCTTCGTTGGAGTCTTGGCCTTCTCAGGGGACTTTGCTTCTTCCTTCAGTGGGGACTTGGCCTTCTTGGGAGACTTGACTTCAGCTGGAGATTCTGCCTCTTTCTTCTCTGGGGACTCAGCCTTGTCTCTTTGGGGACTTGGCCTTTTCAGGGGACTTGACCTCAGCTGGAGATTTTGCTTCTTCCTTCACTGGGGATTTGGCCTTCTTGGGAGACTTGGCCTCAGCTGGTGACTTTGACTTTTCCTTTCCTGGGGACTTGGCCTTCTCGAAGGACTTGACCTCGGCTGGGGATTTGGCTTCCTCCTCCTCCAGGCACTTGGCCTCAGACGGTGACTTTGCCTCTTCCTTCACTGGGGACTTGGCTTCCTTCTCTGGAGGTGCAGCCTCTTCTGCTGGGGGAGACTTTGCTTCCTCTTCTTCCCCTTCAGCCTCCTCCTCTTCAGCCCCTTCTTCTTCCGTGTCCTCCTCCTCTTTGGCCACTTTCTCCTGTTCTTCAGTCACTTGGGTCTCCACTGTCTGTTCCTCCACAATCACAGTTTCTCTCTCGACTTCTCTACCACTTTGATCTTCTTTTCGCTTTTGACCTTTATGTGAGTGGATATGGAGGGAATTTTGGGGAGTCCTTCTGGAAGTGATAAAGGAATCGGGCCAAAGCCAATCAGACACTCTTCGCCTTCCGGGAGTTTTCTGATATATTCTGAATCACTCTGGCTATCTCTATATCCACAGCCATCTTGACATTGAGCAGGTCCTGGTCTTCTGGCAGCTGGGCTGCCATCTCCCACTTGGTGTTCCTCAGGTTAGCGTCCAGCTGCTGAATGGCTTCCTGGTAGGAGGCAATGTCAGCCTGATGACGGTCCTCCAGCTTGGAGCGCTGCCTCTCCAGGGAGTCCTGGAGAGGCTCTGGAATGGGAGATGGCTTGGAAAGTACCCTCAAGCCAGGTCCCCTTCTCTGGGCCCAGTTCCCCATCTGTGAAGTGGAGCTGATGGCCCCTGCCTTGGTAGAGGTGGTAGATGGATATGCATCCCCACAACCCGGCCCCTTCCCCAAGAATACTGACTGCTGTGGGTAACAGCAAGTGGCTACTTTCAGCATAGAGAGCTACAAGGCCTGCTTTCTCTGTGTGCCTGTCCCTATTTTATAGGGTGTGCAAAAAAAAAGGCAAGGGTCCAGAGATGTGGGCAGTGGAACTCCTCCTTGGACCAGGCTGATGGAGGGTGGGAAGGATGAGCAGGGCAGGTTCCCCCACCGACAGGCACCCCCTGCTTCCTGGGGCCCTCCCTCATGCTTCCACAAGCTGCCTCCTAAGGTTACCTGAAGTAGTGTCTCTTCACTAACCTGGGCCAGGGTGCCAGAGGCACCTTCCTGGAGCTCACACTGCCGGACAGGCTCTTCTCCCTCCCTGGGCCTGTTTCCTCTGTTGCAGGGAGAGTGGAGTAGGCACTAGTTGCCTGCCTCAGTTGGAGCATCTTGTGGGGAAGTTCTGTACTGTGGGCTCAGTGCTAGTTGTTGCTGTGTGTCTAGTGCAGGTGACGGAGCAGTTTCTGGCCAGAGCAGGCTTTGCCTGGGTCCAAGGGGCAGGCATAGCTACTCTCCCATGGAGGGGGAGAGTTTTGCTCAGCAGCCATTGCCACTGTGGCCACAGGATACATGCCGAGGGGTCAGGGTGGTCAGAGAAAGTGAGAGGGGAGCAGGAAGGCCACCAGCAGCTCCCATCTTAATTTCCTCCATATGTCTGCCCTGGCCCTGGCCCAGGATTTGGTTGAGGAGTAGCATGGGAATGTGGCTTGCCTGGGGCCACACGGCAGCTGTGGTAGCCAGCAGGAGCCCTGGGAATCCTGCCCCTATTAAAGAAAAAAATTCTATGGATTTGGACAGATTCATAATGCTGTGTATCCACCATTAGAGTATCATATAGAATATTTTTGCTGCTCTACATAGAAATCCTCTGTGTTCAACCTATTCATCCTTCCTTCCCACCTAGGCATTGGGAACCAATAATCATTTTACTGTCTCCACAATGTTGCCTTTTCCAGAATGTCATAGAGTTGAAATCACAGACTATGTAGGCTTTTCAGACTGTATTCTCTCACTTAGCAATATGCATTTAAGTTTTCTCCGTGTCATTTTATGGCTTAATATCCCATTTCTTTTTAGCACTGAATCATACCCCATTGTCTGAATGTATCACAGTTTATCCATTCACCTACTAAAGGACATCTCAGTTGCTTCCAAGTTTTGCCAATTATAAATGAAGCTTCTACAGATATCTATGTCTAGGTTTTTGTGTGGACCTAAATTTTCAACTCCACTGGGAAAATTCAAAGGAGCATGATTGCTGGATCATATGGCAAAAGGATGTTTAGATTTATAAGAAATTGCTTTTATAAGAAACTGCTAAGGTGTCTTCCGTAGTGGCTGTACCCACACCAGCAATTAGCGAGAGTTCCTGCTGCTCCACATCCTTGTTAGCATTTTGTGGTATCAATGTTCCAGATTTGGCCATTCTAGTAGATGTGCAAAGGTCCTCATTGTTTCAGTTTCTATTTCTCTGATGACATATAACGTGGGGCATCTTTCATATGCTTGTCATATTGTATATATTTATTAGTGAGATGTCTGTTAAGATCTTTAACTCCCTTTTAAATCTGGTATTTTGTTTCCTTACTGTTGAGTTCCAAGAGTCATTGGATGGTTTGGCTAATAGTCCTTTATCGGGTATGTCTTTTTGCAAACATTTTCTCCCAGTCTGTGTTGTGTTGTTCTTTTCTTTTTTTAAGACAGGGTCTTTTTTAGCTAGGACTTGTATTAGCTAGGACTTCCAGTACAATGTCAAAAAGCAGTAGTGAGAAAGGATATCATTGTTTTGTTCCTGATCTTGGTGGGAAAGCTTCTAGCTTCTCATCATTTAAGTATGATTAGCTGTAGGTTTTTTGGTACATTTTTTAAGGCAAGTTGAAGATGCTCCTCTCCATTCCTAGTTGAGAGTTTTTTGTTTGTTTGTTTTTTTAAATCATGAGTGAGTTGGATTTTTTCAGATGCTTTTTCTGTATCTATTGATATGAACATATGATTTTTCTTCTTCAGCCTTCAAATTTATTAACTGAATTTGTAATGTTAAACCAGCCTTGTATACCTGCCTACTTTTCATTGACTCTTCACTATAGAATATTTTAAATTAGAATATACTCTACAAGTGTTTAGAACAAATTGCTACATGGAAGAGCTTCTCATCCTTTTTTTATTTTTATTTTTGTATTGAGAAGTGTAATTATAGCTCAACTACTTCCTCAGGCACTGTATCACTACATTTTTGCCTCCTTTAATAGTAAATTTTTTGGATAAATGTTACTACAAGAAAAAAGCTCATTAATTTTATGATTCTTTTGAATGTTTCGTCAAATTTAGATGCTGCAAAACTGAAGGCTTTATGAATACATTCTACAGAATAGGAATTTGTCCGATTAAATGAAATATTCTTCACATAAGTTTATATATACCATCTGAGCTCTCAGTATTTATTTTTCTCTGTTCCTTCTTTTATATAGAATCCAATGCCTTCCAGTTTGTAAGCCTTTTAAAAAATAGTCACAATTTACTAAAAGTTTCAAAAAGCTTTTGAATATTCAATTGATGATATAATTTATAGATTTCCAACTAAATTTGAACAAAATTACCGAAATTTAGAGGATTAACTTTCAAAAGGCTTCATATTTTTATAGGACGCTTGGATTTATTTACCAAGTACTTCTTCGAAGGTACAGGCATGTCAAAAATCCCACTGACAAATAGCAAAGAGAGAAAGGGTACTGCTATGCTGAGAGTGTATGCGTCCATCAGAATTGTAGAGGCTGAAATGTGGCTGATGTGACAACATCAGGCTGTTTGGCTTCTTTCCATATCTATGCTGCAGGTTAACACCAATGGCTTAAATAGTTTTTTTCCTGACAAACAGTCCAAACTCTGGAATAATGGTATAATGACATTACCCTAAAAATAAAGTCATGCTCCACAAAAGAAGAAAACTAGTCTGTTTGTTTTTACATTTTGGAACCTGGCTGATTAATAGCCTCCTCAAGTCCTTTTCATAATAAGTACTTTCCAAAACATTACCATTTTTGGATCTCCATAAGTGTTTGTTTGTCAAAGTAAATAATATAATATGGGTTTCCAATAGACAAACTGACGTCCTAAGTACCTAGTATAGCAGTTATAATATCCTGTTATAATAAAGAACTACTTAATAAGCTGTTGGGAACTACTCTCCTATTCATTTTATAAGAGTAGAAATTAATGAGAAGTGCCCACTTACTGTAACACACTTACAACATGATAAAGAGCAACATAGGTAATGTCCTTGCTGTGATTTTTATGATACCTCATACTGGTTCAGGAACATGTGGAGTTGCTGTACACTGATTCTCAGATCAGTCTCATTGAACTCATAAGGAATATTCCACCCTAGGGGTCCAAATTTCCGTCTTTCTTGCACCAAAGCATGAAAGAAACACAGGCCATAAAGCAATTTCTTGAATTCCTCCTGTAATGAGAAGAAATGATGCCACATCATTATTTTCCTCATATATTACATTATATTTACCATATTTTAAAATGAAAGTAAATTCCTTTAACTTATAAATAGGATAGGGATATATTCATCCCAAATTATGACTATAACAGAATTAAGTGTGTTTCTACAGCTCTTCAGGCAAAGTATATCCATCTGTGTACATGTTCACATAGCTATACATACACAGCTATGTACCCCAGGTTTTTAGGAAGCATGGTAGGCTCATCTAGTTTAATGCTGCCTTACAAATTTTGGAGGTCCCTACCGAAGCATTACAAGGCAACACAGAACAATTCCAACGTGTGCTCCCAGACCACCATGGAGAAATGTCAAAGGAGATAATCCAAACTAGTCAGAGCAGCCTAAAATGCACAAGAATAGGAAACAGGCAAAATAGAACCTGAGAGAGGATTTGTGAAGAGGTTTCCTGGGAGGGAACAGCTGTTATACTGGGAGTCCCCTTCCCCAAACCCCCGGTGGGGAGGGCTGTGTGGGGTCTACCCTCTAAGTTTGAGTTAGTGGGAAGGAATTGACGGAGCCTTGTGGAGGGTTGACACATGCCCCCTGCAGCTGAGGTTGGAAAGTAGGGGGAGGATGATAAAAGTGAAGTCGCCACACTCCTCCAACAGTGGGCCCATCCAGTGGGAATCCCAAGGAGCAGACAGGGAGTGTGGGCTGAGAATGGCAGCCAGGGGTCACTTTGAAGGTGTCCTGGTCAAGAAGACTTCTGCCACGGGGTGAAGAAACCCCAAGAGTAAAAGCCTGTATGAAAGGAGTGCTAGAGACCCAGAAGCTGAGGAGGATTCAGACTTGCCATCTGAAGTAGAGGCACTGCCAAGGGTGACAGAGTCACAGTCATGAGTCCAGCAGGGGAGCCTAAGGAGAACCCATGAAAAAACTCACAGAAGATTTCACAAAGAACTGAAGAGTCAGCTTTAAATGCTTTGCCAACTCCAGCAAGGTGTAGGCAACAGCAGCCCCCATTGGGAACTTCTGCCCCCCCAGCCTCGCCCTCACGCACATTTGGAGCTGAGTGATCTCTATCAGCAGCTGTCAAGTGCAGGAAGAATCACAAGAGAAAGACACCAACTCCATCTTCCCCCAAGAACAGGAAGCCCGCCAACTACAGGCCCCAGGTGAGACACTAGGGAGTGGAAACCTAGATGTTGAATAGAAGTTGAAATAATGATCAATATATTATATTATACTTCTTGGTTTCTGAATCAAGGCTGGCTTTGCAATTTAAAATGACTACAGAACATTTTATTGCCTAACGGTAACCAGAAAAGTCATAAAGATGACATTTCATACAAGAGCAGGGGAAGGGTTTCCCTCGTAGAATAAATTTGAAAGGGAAGGTGGAAGACAAAACAAAAGTAGCATAAATTTAATCACAGAGGTAGTTAAATATGCTGGGCTAATTCTGGATTATTTTATATATATTAGAGAATTTAGCTAATTAGTAAATGTGCTGATGTTGAAAGCCAGGTTTCTCACTGCACAAGAAGGGACATACAAATATGGAATGAGGAAAAGCAAAAAGATATCTGAGAAGAATGACTGAAATTGGAGGTATTGGTACAAATTCATCACTTCTAAAATTTGCATAGAGTATTTATGTGCACATGAACTTCTTTGCATGTATGTGTATGTATATTTGTATATTTGCATGCATACATATCTGTATATTTGTGTATGTCTGTACACGTATACCTCCAAGTTCTCCCCACTGAAAGAGTCAAAAAACTGCAGACAGACAGTACAGTAGCAATAAGCTCCTCTAACACCCAGACCCTGGTCTCTAATGCCATTCTCCTTTAAAAGGAAACAGGGTTCTTCAGAAAAATGGCTGATTCCAAGGCTGGGGCAAGACAGGTATACCATGAGCCTGAACATCTTATGCCAGAAAGTAAGAGGTACTACTGCTACTAATCATCAGATAATAGAATATTTTTTTTTAATATGGAATGTATGCCAAGTACAGAGGAAGCAGTTTGAAGGAGCCCTAATTGACCAACTCTGGAATAATCTGAGTACCAAAAGACTCCAGTATAGCATTGAAAATACTTAATGTGGGCTGGGCGCGGTGGCTCAAGCCTGTAATCCCAGCACTTTGGAAGGCCGAGGCGGGTGGATCACGAGGTCAAGAGATCGAGACCATCCTGGTCAACATGGTGAAACCCCGTCTCTACTAAAAATACAAAAAATTAGCTGGGCATGGTGGCGCGTGCCTGTAATCCCAGCTACTCAGGAGGCTGAGGCAGGAGAATTGCCT